TGGGCCCCTAGATGACTAGATATCCTGAATCAGTGGCTTATGCCAGTCATGCCACCTTATCGGTAAGGGGCACAGGGTTGTTATAGTGATTCTGGACTTATACTTTCCGGGCTAATATGAACCGAATGAATACTTTCCAGTGATATACGTTTTAGATTATGTAGCCTTCCTACACCGTTCATCGCAAAATCTCTGATGATACGTGAAATTCTTATCAGTGACATTGTGCATGTCCTGATTTAATATTATTATATAGGCAATACATTTTATAGTTAGGATAAATACGTACGTAATAAATTATAAAGACAATTCTAGGGGATCACGGTATTCCTTTTTTTGTGGAAGGAGATATTACATTTTTAACTTTTCTCCCACCAATATATACTACTCTCTAATTTACATTATTACCGCGCGCCACGAACACTTCTATACTGCACTACACATTTTTGGGTCATTGTAATGTTTCAGAAAATTTTTTTTTTGTTTGTCGGCGCTGTATATTATATAATCTGTTTTTGTTTGTTTATTTTTTTTCTCCCGTATATATTTCTCGGGATATTCGCCTTCCGGATATGCGAACAGTGAAATATGTAACGTGAAAAATATTAATTTAACTTCGTTTACCCATATATGAACGTAGGGGCAAAGAGGGTCTAAACGCTTTTCTGAGAATTCGCGTAATTTTAAACGAACGACCGTGGGGATTGCCTTCACCGCCCGTACACATAATAATATAACATTATTATACCTGTAGAACTTTCGCGTGACGAGCGGGAATTCGGTTAAATTTTGCGCAGCGAGTATAATATAAATAATAAAAATTGATTAATAATTTTGATGAAAAGCTCGGTGGCAACGGGTATAATGTGTTATTGAATTATATATAGGAGTTAACACACGATTGCAACGTCCCCGGAAACGGCAGGTATTTGAATTTTCGTTATTATTATTTTTCTTTTAAATTCAGAGCGAAGCGAAGAGTGTATTGGTTTTAATATGAAGTGCTGTTTTAGTAAAATTTTCCCGACGTATATTTTTTTCCCGGTACATTTTAACACTTCTCTAGATCCAAAGAGCTCAAACGTGAGAATTAGAGGTTTTTCTTTTATAAGCGGATTGAAGTGTTATAATTTTTAGTTAGATATAGTTTTAACTTTGTACGCTCCTACAGAACCTTTAAATGAAGCCTGGGTAAAGATATTTTTTGGATGCGTGCTATATGACGTAAGTTTCAAAGATGTGTCTCTTGGTGATTTAAATTTTTAATTCCCCCCCAATCATTTTTATGTTCAGATTAAATTTTTTCATTAGATTTTAAATATTCTTACTAGGGGCTGACTAGCCTGCCGAGACGCCGGGAAATTTTCTAATATCATCTATGGGTATAAGCCTACCTACATGTGGTCAATGTTGTTAATAAAATAAAATAAAATATAAATTTGAAAAAAGCTGTCCCAGGATAATGGGAACGGTACAGACACTGTTGTAGGTAGGATCCAGAAAAGAATTTAATGTGTAAATGTAAGCAGCAATAAACCATTGTTAACGAAAAAATGTTCTGAGCGCAGTTTAGTTGACAGTGATACTTTGTCAACAATATATGTGTCATATTATGGTAAAATAATTAAATAGGCATTATGTATTTTCTTTAATAATATTTATTTAATATTGTTCTAATTTTCCCGATTTTCCCATGTTTTTTCTGTTTTTTCATATTTGCTGGAAAACTCTTGGGAAAATCGAAAAATGACCTCCATACAATTCCTTCTCAGTCAGATTTTCTTTTAGAAAAAGTGTTATCATTGTAAATCGGAGCAAAATTTCTGGTAGAATAGGAAAAAAAGTTGTTGATACAAAACAACTCTGATTTTCCTCTGATTTTTTTTTTGGTTTTTCACATTTATTGAGAAAAATCCTGGGAAAATCAAAAAATGACTTCCCTAAAGTACCTTCACAATCAGATTACCTTTCAGAAAAGTATCTACATCGTATACATCAGAGTAAGCTGATGTATACAGAGAAATTGTATTTACAGCACGTTTACTGCGTTTCTTATACAGGAGAGAACCGATCCACGCGAATTCGGAAGAAAATAAAAATGGTAAATATTATTGTTTATATTCTAAGCATTGCGAGTACTTTCCAGGGGCATCGTGACTCACAAAAATTGTTCATATATAAAATCATAATAAATATATCATATCAATCATAAAAATGGATTATTATTGACAATCAGTATTGATTTTGTATGTATATTCCTTACCGCATTCACAGAAGGACACCGTGGCTTAATTTAGTCCATAAAAAGGTATCGCCGAAAATAAAGTTTAGGAACCGCCGTTTTAGAATAATTTAAATATATATACAGTCTACTATCAGTCATAAGTAGTGATGTACAATTGCCGGTAATTCGTTTTTTAAGTTAACTTCCCGCGATGATAATATTGCAAAATTAATTATTTATCTACACCGAATCGAATAAAAATTAAATAATTATTGAGAACATTATAAAATACCTATTGCACATGCTATACGGGCTATAGTAAAATACAAAATATAGCTTTGCGGAAATTTTGTTACCTTAAAATTGTACATAATGCAGGAGCATCATTTAGGGGAGAGGCGGGTGTGAATTCGCATCAACTGTTTTTAAAATGTCTTTTTTGGCTCGCTAAATAAAATATAAGCGCCAATGTACCTAAGTGTTTTATAATTTCATATATTGAATTAAAAAAGAAAGCAAAAAAAGAAGAAGACAAAAGGGGTATGTTCCCACTTGACCACCTCTCCTAAAAAAAAGGTGTCCATAATTGTGACCTTTGAAATATGACAGATGTGCCCACTAAATCAATCTAAATCCTGGTGACTTTTTAAATTTCAATCCCAGTCTCTGACACTCACAGATTCATAAACCTAAGTTAAGCACTTGTTTAAAATGTATATACATTACCGAAATGTTGTCATTTAGGAAATTATGACAATTCCTAATAAGGTATGGAAATGATATTGCCTAGTAAATGTTATCATTTCCTAAGGATAGTAGCCAGTAGGTAATGATATACAGTATACAGTAAAATGACATGTACAGCGAAACCTCAATTATATTCGAATTGGTCAAGAACCAAAATAAATAATTCGAGTTATGGGAAATATTTTATTAAACAACGCACAGACGTTATTTTTGATTTTGTTTATTTACTTAAATTACTTATCCTAAATATTGTACAAATAGTATCAAAATATTAGCACTATTTTTAAAAGAAGTTGGTGTTTTTTATTTTTGGATGAGAATCTATGAGGACCTAACAATAAAGTTTTCAATTTTATTAGTTCATTAATTTATTAAGCGCAGGAAAAATCTCGTCTGGAATTCCTGGGTTGTTCTCGGCTATATTTACGGAATACCTGTATACTATCCTAATGCCTGCACGGTAAGAGTCCTCATCATTATAATTATCCGACTATTCTCCATTTGACTCGTTAGGTTATTCTTGGAACATCATATTATTGAGGATTTTATCATTGGTAGGTTAATATTTAGATTGTATTTCACCCGAAATATAAATTTACTATTAATGTACAGTAGATAAACGATCATATCGGTCTAGATCGGTCGGTATCGAACCACGATCGGTCTATATATAATCAGATCAGATTGATTTTCGGTTTTTTAAAGTCGTTATTTTCAATCAGGTTTTAAAATCTAACTGAGTGAGCTTTACCTATAAATCTCTCTACTTTTATCAATTTTAATTGTTGAGATATTGTAATAATATTTATGTTAAAATCGCATTTATAATTTAAAAAAAATTCGTTATAACCATTCAATATTACATATTATTTCAATAATTGTCGGCAACGTAAGTTGAATAATTATAAAGTTATAAGCCACTCAAAGGACTTTTACTTAACGAGAAATTGGATTTAGTGAAATTCGAATTATCGAGAAAATTCGTCCCACAAATCCTATATTGAAATGTAGGTACCGAATTACCGAAAATTTGACTTATTATATACGTTCAAGTTATTGAAATGCCACTATATTATCTTATATCCATTTTTTTTTAGAACATTTTATTTTATTCTGACATAGCAAACTTTCGTGACACTTCGAATTATAAATTCTGAATGCTGATCTACAGCTACACCCGTTTGTTGAATTTCATTTATCGGTAAAACAATTGAACCTACATCTAAACGAAATGGAGAGTGATGGGTGATAAACATTACCTAATAAATTACGGAAATGATAACAAATCCAGGGAAAGGATATTATTTCTATACCGTATTAAGAATTGTCATCGTTTCCTGGGAGTTATTGCCATTGTCGATGTCCGGGTTACCTTAGCAAAAAGCGAAAAACACCTACTAATTATATAATACTACTCAGAATTGTTTTTCATTAACAATGGTTTATCGTAACGTACAGATATAATTTCAATTACTCTATATAATATGTATATTTTCTTCCGAAAAATCATTGGCACATCCATCAGCAGCATAAGGATCAGCATTTCCCTCCCCTCGTTTTTATAATAATAATAATAATAATAATAATAATAATAATAATGTTGCACGTTCGATGGCGGAAAATCTCGGGGCCGGGTATTCGATTTTGGCTGCGCGGAATGAGTGAAAAAAAAAAAAATTTCGGTAAATATTTATTGACGGATATTCGACAACAGACAACGAAATATCTTCCAAGAACCACGGCGGCGGCGGAAACTGTTATAAGTTTTGTGTGCGCTAAGCTTTTGTCGTTGTTCGTGATGTCTGTGTATACACTCTGAAAGCGCCGAGGAAAACGTAATAAATGTTTGCACAGGACAAAGAACTGCGTAATTTTTAAAATTTTTTTTTTTGTTTCCCGAGAATTTCACGAAACGACCTTTTTCGTCCGCCGTGGACGTGATTGCCGGGCTGGATGGTTGCAGTGTGTGAGCTGCTCGTAAAGTCCCGAGGAGAATTATTTATGACCCGACCGCGGGAGGAATCGCGTACGCGACGACGACGGTGTCGGAGTTGGTTTTTTTGTTCAACACGTCCGTAAACAAAATAGGTAATAATAATATGCGTACAGTTATGAAATTGTGCGGAGAAAAAAAACGCACAGCCGCGGCATAGTCGTCTGCCAGTTGTGGGAGAGGGGGAGGGCAACGTTGAAAATATGTTTCGCAAACGTCGCGTTTTTTCCAATGGGAATTTCGCGCGTCTCGAGACGGACGAACGCGTATTTTTACGACATACCTTCGTAACTGAATCGCGATCGCGCGGCACGATATTATTATTATAAAGGCGTTTGTGTAACAATATTGTGGGCTATACACCGCCACACCGCTCTACCGCCCAAAACGTATTATAATTATTATTATATAGGTAGGTTAACGTCGTTTTTCTCTCATTCTTCGTCGACGGCCGGCGCAAGGTCGCGTTCGCAACGCACTGCAGCTGCTGCTCGGGAGAAAAACCGGGTTCCCCCGCGAAACGCGTTCGTTCCGCCGCGGACGCGGTCGACGGTCGTGCGGAGCGCGCGCCGTATACGACAAGCCGCCGTCCAGTGATGCCAACCCGACGGCGGCCCGGCCGTAATATCAATAATAATTGTTATAATAAGGGATGACCGGGTTTCCGTTTCGTCGGCGACGTTGGTACGGTCGTCGGGCGTCCCCATACGCGCGCAAGTCTGATACGGATCTGAGCCGCCGCCGCCACGGGCGTACCGGTTCGGTTGGCTGAAGTGGCGGCACCCGAAAGACGAACGACCCGACGCCGCGACCACGGTCGAGGAGCTGCGAGCGACGCGACGAGCCGGCCGGCGGGCGACGAAACCGATTCATCGCGTCGTCAGTCTACGTGCGGGACCGGTTGCCGGGCGGACCGTTTGTGTGTTTTGCGCGTACTGTGCGGTAGCGTGCGCGCGCGATTTACGCGTACAGTCGGACCGTGTATCGGCCGCGGCCACGAACTTCGACGTTTCGTAATATTACACGCCGCGGTGGCGTTCGGTTCTCTGCGCGCGGTGTTTGCGTTTCGGTTCTACGGATTTGCACAGGACGCGGTGAGTGCCAATATTATAATATTTTGTTTTCCTTTCGAGTCGTTGACGGGTACGATCGTAATATAAATAGGTACTACTTACTTACCTACCTACTTGACTACGCGATCGTCGGGTGCACGGCGTTTTTTTTTCGACAATAAAACGTGTCTGCCCCGGAGTTTAACGACCGAATACGTGTGTAATAATAATGCACGGTGGTCGTACGCGCGTGTAAACAAAACGGTGGAAATGAAATTCCACTGACCGGTTGCGTCGTATACATGGAAAATAAGCCCGGTCGGCGATGGTTTTTTTTTTCTGGAGGGCGCCTATGTACATAGATTATACAGAAACGGACGGGCCATTTCTACAACGATTTTATGCCAAACGACGTTCCCGGAGGGCCGGAAAACCGAGGCGATTTATCGGTTATAACGCTTCTTTTTTAATCAATCGTGGGATAACTGTATCCATCCGAACACTGATGCAGTACGAATAGCGTATCTCTATAATCAACGGTTATATAATTATCCGCGGCAAACAAGTCGAAACTTCACGGTTGACTTGAAGATGAACTAACACTGATTCTACGAAAAGAGGCGCGTTTCCTTCACAGCGCCTTAATATGAAATTATATTGATTTGCGGAACACGTATATATAATATGTTCAGTGAATCGAAATCCGCTACAATATTGTTTTATCAGGAGAACGGTGGGCTTAATACAGTGTTTCTCGAATGACCGATTCGTTTACTCCGAAATCTGAAAACCAAAAACCATAGTAATAGCTCGGAAAATAAAAACGGTATTTGTTCTGGTTTATTATCTCTTTGGATTCCGGCGACATTGATGCGACCGGCGTTTATTTTCGGATGAGGGGGCGGGGCGAGCAATGATTTTCGAATAAGTTTCTGGGTGGGTTTTTTGGATAAAGATTAATGTTGTAATCTAATATATAATATAGTACACATTTTCAAAATTACTAGGTGATGTAATTCGTAATTGAAATAGGTACAAATTATTATACGACTAACGTAGAATTTGTGAAAAAAAATCTGTCGAGGTTTGTTGATAGCCATTATTCGATATTCGATTTTCCAAGCGGTTTTCATAATAATTGAATGTTACCGTAAGAAAAACGGGAATATGTATGAAAGTAATACTTTCAATTTTCTAAGTTTTGTTATTGTAATTCAGTTAAAAATATTCGTGGGGGACTTGAAATTTGGACAGAAGTTTCTTATTTATTTCTTCTAGACGTGGTAAAATTTTCAAAACATTTATGCTATTTTTGAGCTATTTATAAACATTTTAATTTTGCGAGATTTTTACGTAATATTTATTGGGTACATAGGTACTCTGAGGATGCAATTTTTAGACTAAACAGAAATGCATGCAAATTTGACAGGAGGTTCTTTGTTGTATATTGTGATAAAAAAAAAAAAATAGTTCAATGTAGTATTTTTTTTCCTTATTAGAATTTTGACGATAATCGTAAATATTACGGCTTTTTGAAACATGTATAACCGTACTCTGGCCCGAATCGTTTTTCGTTTGCGATGGTTTATCGTTGCGTACAGATATCAATTTAATTTCCCTCCATATTCTATTTTCTCAACTTCTCACCAACAACAGTGGCCCACCCATCGCGTAAAGTGTATCCGTCGTTTTTGTTTTAATCGAAAAGCACTTATGCGATAGATACCGGGGGGGGGGGTCGATCTTACACACGTAATATTTAACGGTCGTCGTGTAATTTATACGTACTTACGATATAGTTCTGGTTTTTTAAAAATAATAGTTGTTTTTTTTTTTCTTAACAATTTTTTCATTTCGTGTGTATTTGAACCGTCTTAATTCTCGAATCGCGTGATACTCGTCGTTTGCCGTACGGTATATTTGATTGAAGGATAATGAACTTGTCGAAAGAAAAAAAAATCGTAAAAATAAGCAAACCACGTTCAACAGTTTTCTAATTATTTGAAATCGTTTTCCAAGTTTTAATTCATTTCGCGGGAGTTGTGCGAAACGAAATTAATTCGTATAAATAGAAAATGTATTCGTATTTTTGACCCTTGTAAAATGTCATTGTCATTCATCTTAAAATCATACTTATACTTATTGATTAACATTGGATTTGTGTACCATGATTGACGTAATATTTTGGATATCGTTTTTTCCTCCGTGTTAATTTTAAGATATTAATTTAGAAACAACTAAATTTAAACTAATTAAATCGGGTACCAGAATAAGTATTATTGTATTTAATATAAACAAAATATTTTTTCTACGATATCTTGGCCGCCGATTTTCGCCGGAATCACCGTCGAAATCGTATAATCGTCTAATGTGATATGTTTTAATTTATTACGTATTTACATAATAGTATATGTAACGAATCGTTTTAAAACTACGAGCTGATATGTCGATTATCTTCGTAGAATTTATTTGTAATTAATTGTTATTTGCAATTATTGATTATTATTATTATTTTTTTATTAAACGCGAATAACACGAACAGATTTTCGTAAAATCGCAATATTTTGTCGACGTCGACAAATGAACGTAGCATTTGTATCTAAAATTAAAAATATTATTTATTTGTCCACAGACAAATTATTCCAAGCCCGATACAATTTATAATTTATAATATACAGATGGTTTACTGTATAAGAAACAACCTATCTATGTAACAGTGTAGTTGTTAAACGGACCTATTCATATAACGAAACGTGTATAGTGTTTGTGAGTTTGATAATAAACTATATAAAACACTTATCATGTACAGATTATACACTTGAATAAAGTACCTATACGTGTTCATGTTTTTCGATAATTTAAACTAGGTTTCTTTTTAGATCCTGAACGAAGCGAGGAACGTATTCGTTTTAATTACATGTGTTTTGTTTTTGTCTACAAATGATTTTTCTACCTCTTCTTCGATTAAAAATTGTATACGAACTTAACTGTCGTAGCCAGACGTGTTGACAATAAACTCCTTTTCCGGCACCCCTTCTAAAACAGTGGCTGTGCCGAGTGTTTAGCATCTTCAAGTTTAAAATTAGCTCCCCCCAAAAATATCCAATAATTTTTTCCTTAGTAATGACTTAAATATTTTATCCGTGTATTTTGTAGTTTTATAATGAGCAGAATAAAATACAGACAATCCATGTGTGTGTGAAAAATATAATGTTTAAATAGTTATGATAAATTCCTTTATACAAAATACGTATGTAAATGAAATGCGTAATTGCTTATTTTAAGAATCGTGTAAAAGGGATTGTGGGGTCATAGCCTCTATGGGTTATTGATGTGTCCGTAATTTTAGTAACCCCAAAGTTGGTAGCCAGTTGCACTTGCGGTGTGTCACTGTTAAGTACACGCTGTATAATAGTACTGCGATTTGTATGTTCTTATTTAAAAAAGCGCGTAATTAAATGCTTGTAGATGGTATGATGTACTTTGAGATTTTCTTTTACAGCTTTGTATTATTATTATTATATTTTTCTTTTTTACGAGGATTTTGTTTATTTCGTATTGATCGTTTACGAACGTACGATAAATTCTGTTTTGTCAAGATTTTTCTGTTTCCGTAATATTGGGTATACGTTGTAATGCGAAGATTTTTTTTTCGTCTACTGTTTACCGTAGTTAGCACTACTGCATAAGTATATTTTAATATTTATACCTACCTATACAGTGGCGTACATAAATGGGGGGGGGGTTAAGGGTGTTAACCCTCCTGAAATTTCTCCCTTCATTGCATTTTTTGAAATCAAGTTTTACATACCGCAGACTAAAATAAAATTCAATCTCATAAAAAAATCAATTATTCAGTAATAATAGTGCTAGTGTTGTTACTACAAGTACTGATAATATGTGATACAGTGTATAGCAGAGAGGGGCTCTAGGAAAAAAAATATCCTGCGTACGCTACTGCCTACCTATACTGGATTTTTATAATTTCAGTATACCTATTACACTGTTGACTCGAAGGATAATAATGTAACGCATTACGCGTTGTCGTTGTCTGCATCGCGTTTATAATGGATAGCTCGTGTAGTCTGGTGGTTAAAACGCTTTTTGAAGTGCACGCGTCACAGAATCGTAGCGGAGGCGGACGTAAAAGTAGTGCACGCTGTACCGTATATTATTATACACTTCACGATTTTATACTGACCTTGTTAGATTTATGT